AAAAAAAAAAAAAAAAGTGAAATTTTGTGTGTCTTCCTTCAGACCAATAAATTGTGAAGCATTGTAAATGCGAGCATTGTGCATCCAGTATTAATGCCATCCATAAACTGCCACTTTCTCTTACCTGCTGCATGACCGTTTTTCTGGAATTAATCTGTATGTAAAGAACTAAAAATAATGTGTACAATACAGCATATTAAAAAGAGGGGGGGAGGGAAGTTTTCTGATGTTCCATCTGTGCTTGTTGAAATGTATGATTAAACTTTTCTTTTTATCATCATTCTTATTTTTCTTGGCGTCCCTAATCATGGAAAATTATATGCTTGCTGTAAACATCCAGACTTTTTTAAAAGGACACCAGCATTTATTGTATTTGGTTTCGATCTACAGGCATATAGACAGAAGAAACCATTTCAGGCACTGGGTCCTGGAATCAAAATTCCTTCCGTAGCTGTATCTCTCCCAGATTTTACATTTTAAAATATGCATAAGCAGGAAAAATACTGGCACTTATTTTTTACTGGTCTACTTAAAGTCCCAGAGAATGAAGACTCAACATACATTTCTCTCAGAAATATGACAGATCATGTTTTTGTTGGTCAGCTCTATGTTTGTCTATCTTGAACAGCCTGACAGGCAATTATTTATAAAATCTGGGTTTGCCCAGTAAACCCATATAATAACCTTTCACTTCTCTACATAAGCCAGTGAGCTCAATTTAGAATAAAACAAGGTAGGTTATGTTGCCCTATCTGGGACTAGCCTAGGTATTCCCATAATTGAGGAATATTATTTTTTCCTCTTGTCTCCACACAGATTTCTTTCTCTGATTCTCTTTATAAGGTAAATGAGAAGCGTGTTAAGCAGTACCACTGATGCAGTTTTTTTCAACAGCACCCTGGGGTGGCATGGAATTAAAGATGTACATTTAAAGAAAAAAAAAAGCATTGAAAAAGGAAAATATACTGCTTGATTCACTTACGAAAATATATGGTTCGATTCACTTATGAAAATGGCTAGTTTAGGATTAAATTAAATACTGTGCATTAACCGTCTCTTTGCTGCATCATTTTTTACTCAGTAAATTGTTTTCATTCTCCTGACAGATTCCAAATACTAGAGTCGGTGTTTGCAGGCCAATTAACATGGTGTAAATTAATTAATGCCACCCAGGGCTGGTGGCAGAGCTCTGCTCATATTGAAGTTAAGGGGGAGTTCCTCCTTTGCCAGGGTTGACCTCTATCCAGCGAGTATGAAACAAGACTGGGGTAAAGAAATGTTCTAGTTACAGCTCTGTTTCTAACTGGCTTCATGGAGAAGTCACTTGATTTTTCCATGCCTTAGGCTCGCCACCTGTGAAATAGAGACAGTGCTGGTCGTACTTGTAAACGGAAAGAGCTATTTAAGTATAAAATGCTTTTCTAATTAGAGAGTGCCTGGTCACCACTACTGTAATTGCCACTATATTTTTGAGGGGTCCTTATCCTACTCTTTTTCTTTTTGTTAAATGGGTGCAAGTTGATAGTGCATCATGCCACTCAATGGGTCACTCGGCCCCTCACGAGATCAGCCCCCTGTACTTTTTTTGGATACAGCTTCCTCCATTAAGCAACGATTCCTGGAAAACTGTCTGCTCTGATGCTCCTTGAGTTTAGATGGGACCCTACTGTTGTATTAATGTTCTGCCATCAGCCATGTGCAGATCTCGTAAAATATTTTATAGTTTCCTGTCTAGCTCATGAGGAATGTTTCATAGTACATAAACACTTCGGCAGATAATTTAAGAATAAATAGATAGTGACATTTGTCACAGGTCTAACCCCTAGTTGAAGCCTATTCTATTACAGTTTATTGCTTAAGTGAATCTTCTTGTTTTGGAGCCCAAGGTTAGGATTTTATACCTCTCCCATATATCTGTAGCGAACAGGAGCGCGGCTAGCAAAATGTGGTGGCATGCGTTAAATCCCAGGCTTTATTTGGAGGGGGGAAAGCCAGCACAATGCAAAAAAACCATCCCTGAAGGAATTGTGAATATAAACTTGATGGTTTAAATAAGGCCAGATGCCCTTAAAATTAAAGCTGTATTTTCTAATGTAACTTTTAACTTTTTGTGCTGCAGATGATGTTGCCTTCAAAAGAAAGCTCCCATCCACCGTGGGGGAGCAAAAAAATCAAATGCTTACATTTTCATAAATTGTCAAAATGTTGGCACCTGAGACGAACTTTATAAAGGCAGATGACTGCAAATTTAATGGAAACCTTCATATTTTATTGTTAAGAACCATTTTAACTGCCTAGAGAGTACTTGGAGGGGGGGGGCAGAGCATTAATAGCCTTCCTCAGTAAGCAAGCCCCCATATACTTATCCACCAGTTTTATTAAACAAGATGGATGAGTAAGGGAATGAGATGAGAAAGATGAACAGGAAAAATCAAGAGTTGACATTATTATAATATAGTTTCATTTTACGTCTCATTGCTCTCATCTATACTTAAAACTGTTCATTCATCTCTGTTCCTATCAGACAGAAACATTGGCACAAAACCCCTTTACTGATAATCTTGCATTTCTGTAGTAATTGTCATCCAGATACTTGCTGTACATGATGTGGTCCTGCAATCTTAGGTGCTTTTATGGCTGCTGTTGCTGTTATCTGAGCACCTCAAAATCCAAACACTGTGAGGTTGAGGCACAGAAAGGTTATAAGTTGTATTCTGCTTATAAAATATTTCAGTGATACTTAAATGTCTAAAGGTCAGATCCTATTCTACCTCTTCACTGTCTAAGGGCTTGCTTTAATGCTGCAAGTAAGGGGCTAATTGCAGCATAAATAGCAAGGGTGCTGCACATGCACCCAATTTAAAGCAGTTTAAAATGACCACCACCCATAAAAAGGTATAATGTTAGAATACTTCTATAGCTGGTTTGCTGGCACCATGTGATAAGTCCAAGGCTGCCCCAGGATTAGTGCTGACAAACAGCCAATTGTTGGACCTCGCTCCAAGACAACACGGGATCTCCAGCCACCCCTGGTGCAGTCCTGGGGCCAGGGCTGACAATCAGCTGATGACAGCCCCAGGACCTCACCAGGTCATGCTGGGCTGCAGGCTCCCAGCTTTCAACTTGGCAGTGTAGAGGGAGCCCAGGATCATGTTCTCAGGCTCCCCCTGCACCGGAGTAGAAAAGGGCATCTCATCCTTCATGCCAAAATCGTGCCTCCTGCCCTGCACGTGTGCAAGGCAGGAAGTGAGATGGTTGGGATCAGATCCCATGACCCCTTTAAATGAGTGTGTGCCAGGGATCTAACTAGGATTTGGGTGTCTAAATGATTACTTTACCCTGCTCAGCTACCTGAAGAACCTTTTTATGAGCTTGCTTTCATCTCATCCTTCCTTCTAAGTCACAAAAAGCAGTAAGGGAAAGCCACCCCTTGTGTTAAAGGTTTTTCTGGGATTGAAGCAGGGCAGAACAGGGTTATTTTTAAGTCACTTCTGCAGCAACGTCTGAAGTATATTGTCCACAAAGACCATTGGCTCCATGCTGATTATGGAGGAGGATTAAAAATTAGTCACAAGCACCACTTCCTGCAGTATCTGAGTGGCCACACCTAGGTTGACCATCTAAGCATCCTCACTTAATTTCATGAGAGCTGATGAAGGTTAAGCTGCAAGCAGTGACAATCAAGAAACCTCCCGTGGTGTCTAGACACTGCAGCGAGTGTGGTGGGTTTTCAACAAATGTAAAGTAATATTTGAACTTTAGATAGGGCTTAGCTATGTAATGCAATGCAGCCACGTCTGAGTCAGAAGGTGGTTCCTGTTTACCGTTGTACAGCAGCACAGCCTGAAAGGCAGTACAAAAAAAAAAATCCCTGAAGCTTTTGGTAGAGCAGTGGTTCCAGTAGTCAGGGTTCAATACGCCAAGTTGGTTCAAGGCAGCACTAATTTCACTGAGCAGTTAATTAATCTGTCAAAAAAGAGAGACTTGCATTTCTTGCCATAATATAGTTTGTTGAGAACCCCCAATTAAAGGACACCAATGGTTTGTCAAACACAGGTGAGTAAAATGTTGAAGCTGTCCCTGCAGGACAAGCAGCAAGTCGCTATTCTGGAAAGAGGGTTCACAAATAGCATGTTACACTGGTTTCTGTTAGTGCAGTCCTCTGAATACTGGAGCACTTAGTTTTTTCAGGTCATAAACGCTGAGTTCTGCTCAGCTTGGACACACCTCATGGTGTAATCAGCCTAGTAGTCTGTGTCACCTTCCCTGTATTTTTATTGTTCAAATTTATTTTGTGTTATAATTAACACCACTGGGGGACAAATGAGAATAGTTCCCACTCTCTGCAGATCGGTGATTTGTAACCATAAAGGCTAGGAGTTTATTTCATCTTAAAGGAAAAATCAGATTCTGTGGTGGACTCCAAAAGTCATTACCCATATTCACATGAGTAGAGCAGGAGCAGTGGTCTTGGGTTACCAGACTTGCTCAGCTGCCCTGTCCTGAAGAGAGCTACTAGGGTCATGTAATACCCAGGAATAAATGTGGGTGATACTTTCTGCCTCTAAAAGAGTGAAGATGTGCTTCATAGACCCTGAAAGGAGAAATAGGCCTGTCATGTTTCCATTGTACCCTTCTCCCAAAGAGATCTGAAGAGACATGGACCTACCAGCTATCCATCAAAGGCAACGACAGGTAAGAAATTGTTGAGAGCTTTGGGAGAAAGAAGCAGCTATGTGAAAGGGGTAGACTTGTGAAAGCACTGGACTGAGACTGGACTTACCAGTTTTGCCAAATATTTCTGGACTGTAACCTTGAACACATCACCTACTTTCCCCTCTGTACTCCTTGTTTGTAGACTGTACGTGTCAGAAAGTTGCAGGCT